CATCAAACCAGAAAAAGATGAATTTCAAGGTTCATATATGTATATAAATGAACAGGGGTTGGACTCAAGGTTGAACCATTATAATAGCATAGTAATAAATTAGCATTAAATATGAAACTAAAAATTAGTGAACTATAAAATTATATGTAAAATTCATGTCAGTATACAAATCTCTACTTGTGTTAACAATGGTACCCGACTCTAACACTGTTGAACAGAGAGACTGAGGACAGGAGGATCCTTATGATGTCTGAGCTTTAGCCAGACAGGAAGAAGAAAGGGGTGAGAGAGATTTGGACAAAGTCACAAAGGGATTAGAGATGGGGAAAGAATTATTTGTTGATTGCTTCATAACTTAACTCTTCTTGTTGCTCTCTCTTTTCACCATTTTAGCTCATAAATTATGTACAAACACTTCACTTTTATTGCAATTGAAGAAAAAGAAGAAAATTGATTTCTGAATCAAATAGGAAAATTTTGTGCAAAAGTAGAAAGGAAAGTGGACAGAGAGAATGCTGTCGATGTTCCAGTGCTGCATGAACAAGAAAAAACACGGACCAGTCTTTTTGTTCCAACTTCTAGGTTTGACTTCCATAGTTCCACAAAGTGCCACAAGCCTTTAGAAGCACATCATATCAAATAAAGCCATAATCTCAAGATAAAGAGAGGTTAAGCAGAACTCAAGACTTGTTCATTAAAAAAACACAAATCTAAATATAACAACTCTAAAAGCTAAGTCAACTAAAACATATATGAAGACATGTCACCATGAATGACCACTTACTTAGAACAGGATATGTTTTGTGTATATAAACAAAGCAACAAATTACGAATTGAGCAAAATTTCATCATTCCACATCAGTTCAGACAGTAATACACTAACAAGCCATCAAAACACAGAGCAACTTATTATGTTAAACCCATTATGTGACACCTCACCTTTCTTCCTTCCAAGCATAGATTGCACATAAACAAGTTGTGTTGATGCCTCAAATGCCCATTTAATTGTTCTATGCTCCTAAATCTGATCCTCCTCTTTGCACTCTCGCCACCTTGCACCTCTGCATTCTTGTCACAGACGCTACAAGACAGCCGGCACATTGCCTTTATCATCCGGTAATGATCCACATCATCGAAAAAGGCCTGTGTATCCTCATGGAACCAATATTGCCCCACCTGCCCTTCTGTTGGACTAGCTGGGAAGACTGAGAAATCAGCTACCACCCTCGTGTAATCGCCCAGTGCCTGTAAATCAAAAAGCCATCTGATCTCAAAGCAACAATCATGGGAAAACTAAACAGGTTAATAATATATAGATGTAAATTATTCATGGAAATAATAGACCACGGATCTCATCCAAGTTCTTATATCTACTATCATGAAAGAATCAGCAGAAGACTACGCTCATCAGATCCTAATTCTATTCGAACATAGATCAAAGGATAAAATAAAATCGAATAAGATAAAAAAAAAAGGTCAAAATTTCTACAACAAATTGACAATTATACCAAGGAAAAATAACTAACTTCATCAAGATTTAGGGGAAAACGTTGTAACAATCGATATTTAACCAAGAATTCCACCTCCATGGCCAAATCCCACTTAGTCGGAAACAAACAGATCTCGATGCGATTCAAGAACAATCGACGAAAGAAATAGACCGGGGCAAAACCATAGGGCATGATACCTTGGTGACGAAGACAAAGGAGCACTCGGTCTTGCAGATGCAACAGCGGCGGTCGGCGAGGACGAACCGAAGGCGCACGACGCAGGTGGAGCAAACCTCCCGGTGACCGCACGGCCCGTAGGCCACCCACTCGAGGGCGTCGGCACACACCGCACAGCTATCGTCCATCGGTCAGGGGCGAGGGGCGGGCGATCGGAGACCGGAGATTGGTGGGCGAGCCAAGAAGGCGGCGATGGCTTGGTGAGCAAGGAAACGCCGAAAGAGGCGCACACACGGCGTTTGGGAGAGCGTGCGATTTGATGTGACGGAAAACAATTATATATATGAGGATATGAATTCACAAATAAAAAAGAATATTACATATATATATATATATATATATATATATATATGATTTTTATGAATAGTATTATGATATTTAAAACAATTGGCTTGTTGATGTTCATGGTTAAATATGTTAGCTTTTCAATCAAAGGTTTTTATGTTATCTTTTTATCTGAATAAAAAACAATGAGCTTATAAATAATATATATATATATATATATATATATATCTTTGTTACTGTTTATTATTTTTATTAAAAATAATACATCATATATTGTAAACAAAATTTGATGATCAAATTTTAACAAGATGTTTGAGACCTCAAATATTGAAAACCATTACATGAGTATAATATATTTTTAGAAAATTTTAAAAAATATTTAGTAATTAGAAAATAAGACCTAAATAATTTTAAAAAATAAAAAATCTTTTAAAATGGAAAGACACTGATGAAATATGTTCATCTGGATTCAATTCAAAGACATTTTAGAACTTTAAAGCATTTTGAGATGTCCAATTATGTGATGTATTATTTTTGGATTTTGATAAAAAAAAAACTGTGCAACACATATGAGTAAAACTTTTTAATGGCCAAATTTTTATTAAGTATTTAGGACCTAATTAGAATGTCATATGTCAAAAAAAAAAAAAAACATAAGTGTATGATATTTTGGAGGAAATTAAAAAAACATATTAAAAAAATTAAAAATGACTCACTATGTAGGACTTTAATGATTCTAAAAAATATTGAAATAATACTCTAAAATAAAAAGAAATACTGACATAGGTTCATCTAGATTGAATTCAAAGGTATCTAAAAGTTTCAGGGTATTTTGACAAATCCTCTATGTGATTATGTGATGCACTGTTTTTTAGATTTTGGTCAAAAACAATGCATAGCATATTAGTAATATTTTTTTATAGCCAAATTTTTACCATGTGTTAGGACTTAATTAGAAGGTTAAATGCCAAAAAAAAATGGATGAGTGCATGATCTTTTATAGAAATTTTAAAAAGTTTTTCAAAAATAAAAAATGACACAATTTGCATGAGACGAATAATTATAAAAATATTGAAAAATTTTCCTAAAATGAAATATCACTTGCATCTAAAATTCAAAGATATCTTCAAAATTTTAGTATATTTTGACAAGTCTTATTATATGATGCATTGTTTTAGGATTTTGGCGAAAAATAACGTATCGCATATAAGAAAACATTTTGGTCAAATTTTTACAAGGTGATTGTAACCTTATTGGAAGTTCAAATGTTAAAGAGTATTACAAAAGTGTATGATATTTTTATAAAACTTTAAATTTTCTTAGAAAATTAGAAACTAGCACACTTTTCAGGAGCTAAATTTTCTAAAAAATTTAGAAAATTCCATAAAATAGAAAAACACTGACATATGTCTATCTAGATCAAATTAAAAAACATCTCTAAAATTTTAGAACATTTTGATAAGTCTTGCTATTTGATGTACTATTTTTTTGGATTTTGGTCAAAGATAGTGCATTGCATATAAGGAAATATTTTTTTAATGTCAAATTTTCATTGACATTTGAGATTTAATTAGAATCTCAAATGTCAAAAAAAATATTACATTAGTGCATGGTATTTTTTAAAATTGTTAAAATATTAAAAAATCTTAAACTAGATAAACAATAACATATATCCATCCAAATCCCATTAAGAGGTATCCTAAAAGCTTCAGAGTCTTTTGACAAATCCTGCTATGTGATGCACTATTTTTGAATTTTTGCCAAAAATAATGCATCACATATTAGTAAAACTTTTTTGATAGCCAAATTTTTATCACATGTTTAGGATCTAATTAGAAGTTCAAATGTTAAAAAACTTACATGAGTCCCTGATATTTTTGTGAAAATTTGAAAAATAAAAAAATCATAATGTGTAGAAGGTGAAAAATTCTGATAAATATAAAAAAAAAACCTCTGAAAAAAAAAACACAAACATATGTCAATCTCGATCCAATTTGAAGGTATCATCTAAATTTTAAAAAAAATTTTAAGTTCTACTATGTGTTGCACTATTTTAAGATTTTTTTAAGATAATATATCGTATATTAGGAAATATTTTCTGATGGTCCAATTTTTACCAAGTATTTGGGACCTAAGTAGAAGGTCAAATGCGAAAAAACATTACATGATATTTTGCTAGAAATGAAAAAAAAAAAACTAATGTGATATTACCCATTTTAGTGTTATATTATTTCATGAAATGCAAAAAATATTATTTTCTTTTGAATCATCTTATTATAGGGAGGATTTTCAATTCTTAATGACATTGATAGACAAATATTACATGATACATTAATTTTAAGTAAAAGTTATTTGTCAAATAGCTCAGGTTTGGAGACTCCTTGAATGATCGATTTTATGATAATGAAAATGATTGATAGTGATGATATCTTTAAAAATAAATTGACTGAAGAAAGAATACATGAAGGGGTTGAAGATGACAGAAATTCTAATATTTGTGATGCATTAGATGTTCTTGGTGTGCAAGTTGTTTTAAGTGAGGACATGTATGATAAAATTTAACAAGTGCTTGTTAAATATGATTATAGCCAAGATGATGGTGTGTTGTTAAACATGCTAATTTCTTTCGATGAAGATGGTGATTATTCATACAATGATCTAAATGATATAAAAGTTATTTTCTTGAATTTACTTGATATATATTATTTTATAACTCAAAACATGTCTTTATACATGTGTTTCTAGATAAGGTTGAGTTTCAAAAAGTTTTGAAATATTGTGTCATTCGAATAAATTTTAAGATTAAACATATTGCAACTAGAAGTTATAAGATAAAAGTAAAATGTAAAGTTTTTTATTATTAATGGATGATAGTAGATCATGAAGGAACTGATAGTTTTTGAATTATCAAGTTTCATAAAGATTACGATTGTAATTTGTCAAGATTGAATAGGGATCATAAGGATTGTAGTAGTTCTTTCATCACTGATCAAATTGAAAATTAAGTTATCATAAATATTAATTATACTTTAAAGATTATTATTATTATTATTTAAAAAAATATGAAGTTGTTGTTTGATAGAAAAAGGCTTATCTTGCATAGGAGATTACTCTCAATATGGACAGTGGTGACTTTGATCAGACATATATTAATAACATTTTATTTTTTAAGGGAGTTAAAACTACATAACTATAAGACTCATGTCCAAATAATAGTTTCATAATTTTTTTTGAGATTTCCAAGTTTGCTTTAGACATTTTAGGTTATATATGTGATATGTTTTTGGTATCAATACTATACATCTCTTAAGCAAATATCCTAGTGCTTTGATTATGGCTATAGCTATTGATGGATATAATAAATTACTTCTAATTGTATTTGCTGTGATAGAAATTGAGTATAAGAATTCATGGGAGTGGTTCTTGTATCAATTAAGATATGTGTTTTGGGATGCAAAAAATTGACTATTATTAGTTACTAAAATCAAAAAATCATGATTATTGCATATCATAAAATTAAGAGATCTTCCTAGGAGCATATCATGATTATTGCATAGTTCATATATCGAAAAATCTTATGAGCAAGATAGAGAGGTTGTAAAATTATTCTTGGTTATTGTTAGATCCCCTATTATGTACGAGATTAATAAATACATGTAAAAATTAAGAAAAATATTATAAAGGAGGTTTTATTTCAATATCTAAAATTGAAAAGGTCTACATTTTTTTCCTAATTGTCGTTATACAAAGTTCACCATACCATAAGGATGTTCGAGACTTACATATTAATACCTTTATGATTAAAATGGAGGAAGGTTACTAAATAGTTCTACATCTATCATAAAAGAGTTTAAAATTAATTCTGATAAGTATTGGTGAAGATCAACTTACCAAAACGAAGGACAAGGATCGATACTACAATGTCTTTCCTCGTACTATCGAATTTTAAGTGCAGACATCCTTTGAGACAATTATAGTAGATTTGTAAAAAAAAAAAACTTTATTTATGTCGATGTTTTGATATTTTGATAATTTCATGTTCTCATGGCTACAATTGGATATATTAATGCTAATTCATATTTAATTTGTGAAAAATTTTATATAATATGCACCTTAAAAAACACCTACAAAGATTAAAAAAATTTCCGATGAGAAGCAAACAATATTATATATGATTAGATTTCGATCATATTATATTACCTCCAAAAAGCATAGTGTATGATGGTAGAAGAAAGCAAGAATTGAATTAACATATAGTGATAAAAATAAGAATGAGTATTCAAGGTGTTAACAATTTAAATATAATCATCAATCATGTAAATTCTCAACTGTATCATCAACTTGAGGACAATGACATTTAGATAGGAGATTTGGTTGTATATTTTCAAGGACTTAAACATTTATAATTTAATATGTTTAATATGTTCAAACTATTTGGGTGTTCAAAGTTGAAGCAATTTATATTGGAATTGTAAATTGAAGCAATTCAAATATATCCTAAAATTTTAGAAAAACACTATCATATGTCCAACAAATTCAGAAATTAGAAAAATAGCACACTGTAGGAGGTGAATAATTGAACATTTTGACAAGTGTTGCTATGAGATGTACTATTTTTAGATTTTTGCTAAAAATAATGTATCAAATATAAAAAAATATTTTTTCGACCTAACTAGAAGCTCAAATGTTAAAATACATTGCATGAGTATATGAATTTTTTATGAAAATTTATAAAATATGAAAAAAAAGAAAATATCACATTGTGTAGGAACTCAATAATTCAGAAATATTTTAAAAAGTTTGAAATAGAAAAAATATTGGAATATATCTATGTGGATCTAATGCAAAGGTATCCTCAAAATTTCAAAATATTTTTGACAAATGCTACTCTTCGATGCACGAATTTTTGGATTTTGGCCAAAAAACAGTACATTGCATAGAAGGAAATATTTTTTGAG